AGGTGAGATGACTGCTTGAACCGAATCCCACAGTGAGAGCAGCTGAACGGTCTCTCGCTGGTGTGAACGGCTTTGTGGGATGCCAGTAACCTTGAGCTTTTAAACTTCTTCCCGCAGTCCGTGCATTTGAAAGGTCTCTCGTCAGAGTGAACTTGCTGATGTGAGAGAAGTGAATCCCTTTGCACACACTGAGCAGGTGAACGGTTTCTCACCGGTATTGTTGTGAACCTTCAGAGCCGACGGGGATCGGAATCCCTTCCCACGATCCTCACATTCCAATGGTTTCTCCATGGTGCGGCTGTCCTTGCGAATCCACAGGTTGGATGAATGGCTGAAGACTCGTACACACAGAAAACACACACAGCTTGTCCTTGCTGTGAACGGTGTGATTTCTTTTCCCAGTCTGCGTAACTCGTTAAAACTCTTTCCTCAGTCAGTTCACTGGAACACACTCTCTCAATGGTGTGCCTGTGTGAGTCTGTGTCTGTGTGAGTCTGTGTGTGTGTGTCTGTGAGTGTCTCAGTGCTTTTCCATTTGCACTGATGTTTGAATCTTTTTTTCAGAAAGTATAAACAAACATTTCTCCTTCTATATTCAAAGGCTGATGATATTCACGTCCTGAGGCATCAAATATTTCTGTGGAATCTCAACATAATGTTTGGCTTGAATTCCTGATGTAAATCCTTCCCTTCAAATAGCCTGTAAAAGGAGTTGGCAAATTTCATCACTGTCAGAACTGGATAGAAATTCAGAGAATTCCAGTTTCTGCAGATCACTTTTCTTTCCCTTGTTCTCCCAAAGCCATAAATCCCTTACCCACTATCCCTCCCTGCGCTGAAATCTTGGCAAAGTGTAAGATAGATTCTTGATCAGTCTGGGCATCAAGGTCCATGGGGAAAATACAGGTGTCAGCTCAGCCATGATCCTATTGAATGGCAGAGCAGACTCGAGGGGCAAAACAGCAGTTCCAATTTCTTATAGTCTAATTCTCACCAAATCCTTTTTTGACAAATTCGTACAGCCAGGGATAGCGAAATAATTCACTTCAGTCATAACTGATGATGAAACATTTATCTAAAACACCCTGACTGACCATGCAGAAGAGCAGATGTCAGTCATTTGGACATTACAAGTGCGGTGGACAATGAAGAACTGGTGGATGGGGTGCATTTTGATTTTCAAAAGGCATTCAACAAGGTGCCACACAAAAGGCTGCTGTGTAAGATAAAGATGCACGGCCTTGCGGGTAACGTATTAGCATGTATAGAAGATTGGTTAACTAACAGAAAGCAAAGAGTGTGGATAAATGGGTGTTTTTTTTTGATTGGAGGTCAATGGCTAGTGTTATGCCTCTGGGAAACAGTTGTTGGGATGGCAATTGTTTGCAATTTACATAGACAATTTAGAGTTGGGGACCAAGCGTAGTGTGCCAAAGTTCGCAGATGACACTAAGATGATGGTAGAACAAAGTGTACAGAGGACACTGAAAATCTGCAGAGAGATATAGATAGGTGAAGTGAGTGGGCAAGGGTCTGGCAGATGGAGTACAATGTTGGTGAATATGAGGTCATCCATTTTCGTAGGGATAACTGAAAAATGGACTTTCATTTATTCATTATCAGGATGAGGACATCGCTGGCCATACAGTATTTATTACCAATTCCTAATTGCCCTGAAGCAGTTAAGAGTCAATCACATTGCTGTGGGTCTGGGGCCACTTGTAGGCCAGACCAGGTAAGGATGGCAGTTTCCTTCCCTAAAGGACATTAGTGAACCAGATGGGTTTTTCCGACAATCAACAATGGGTTCACGGTCATTATTAGATTCTTAATTCCCGATATTTTATTGAATTCAAATTCCACCATCTACCATGGCAGGATTTGAACCTGGGTCACCAGAACATTATCTGGGTCTCGTGGAGTAATCGTCCAGCGATAATACCATTAGGCCATCGCCTCCCCAGTGATTATTTAAATGGTGAAAAATTCCAGCATTCTGCTGTGCAGAGGAACCTGGGTGTCCTTGTGCATGAATCACAAAAAAATTGGCTTTCAGCTGCAGCAGGTCATTAAAAAGGCATTTGGAATATTGTCCTTCATTGATAGAGGGGTGGAGTTTAAAAATAGGGAGGTTATGCTGCAGCTGTAATAGGGTGCTGGTGAGGCCACACCTGGAGTATTGTATACGGTTTGTCTCCTTACTTGAGAAAGGAATTATCGGCGCTGGAGGAGGTGCAGAGGAGGTTCTGGAGTTGGGAGGGTTGGCTTATGAGGAGAGATTGAGTAGGCTGGGACTGTACTCATTGAAATTTAGAAGAAAGAGGAGGGGCGTCTTATAGAAACATATAAAATTATAAAGGGAGTAGATAAGATAGAAGCAGGGAGGTTGTTTCCACTGAAGCGTGAAACTACAACTAGGGGACATAGCCTCAAAATAAGGGGGAGCAGAATTAAGACTGAGTTGAGGAGGAACTTCTTCTCCCAAAGGGTTGTGAAATGTGGAATTCCCTGCCCAGTGAAGCAGTTGAGGCTACCTCATTGAAAATGTCTTTAAGACGAAGATAGAGAGATTTTTGAACAATAAAGGAATTAAGGGTAGTGGTGAGTGGGCCAGTAAGTGGAGCTGAGTCCACAAAAAAGATCAGCCATGGTCTTATTGAATGGCAGAGCAGGCTCCAGATACCACAGAGCCGACTGCTGTTCCTGGTTCTTATGTTCTTATGGAAGTGTTACAGGGGCAGATCTAATTGTGGCTTCCAAAAGAGAACTAGGATCACAATCTACAGAGGAAATGTTTCATGAGTTTCAGGGAAAAGATGGGAGGTTGGCATCAAGTGAATTACACCTGCAAGCAGCCAACACAGACATGACAGGACGAATGGCCTCAGTCTGTGTGGTAAACAATCGTAATAACGTCAGATTCAATTGAACACAGAAATGTGAACTTGTGGGATTTTCTAAATTGTCAAGTTAAAATATACACAACATGGTACAGGTTTAGAAAGTGCAGACAAACAGAACAGTAAAGAACTGAAAGATTCAAGCTGACTATGTCCTATTACTTACCAATTTTGAGACTCCAGGATCCGCAAATTTAACGCCTTATTCAGAAGTGGAAGCCGAGCTGATTCCCTGTCCTCTATTGTATCTTATACTGACCCATCTGCAAGTCCTGTGTTTCCAGTCACTTGCACGAGGTCAGCCGCTGAATGGCTCCTTGGGTGCCCTGAGCTTGATCTCTGGTGTCTCCCGTCCCAACTGCCCCTTTACATCAGTATTCCCTCACTTTTCTACACTGTATTGATCCAGCTCTGGGCCCTGACTCTTCTTTGCCTTCTCTGCTGGGGGCTGGCAGGAAGGGAGGAAAAGGCCGCTGGAATTTCTCCAATCTGTGATTTACAAGGACACGCTCCCTGCTTCCCAGCAGTTACTCTCCTTCAGTCATTTTCTCATTGAGGGGATACTTTCCTGTCTGCTATTAATTCTCTTATTTCTGACAGTTTCACAATTATGGAGCTAAATGTCACACATCAGAATCTAATCTATTCTCTCATTCACTCTGAATGAAATTTATATTGTGGTTAATGACAGACAAACCTTTTCCTTTTCTCTGATCTCAGTTTCCAATAAGGGGGACTCTGTACAATGGAATGTCATCTTATCAGTGTTGCCGTGGTAACCTGCCCACAGGGAAGTGCTTGTTTATTGAGTTTCTAACTCAAACTAAACTTGTCTTTCCCAAAATACATATCATACCAGAACATTTCACCTTAATGTCTCAGCCATGTGACAAAAGGTTCAGACACACAATTTTCTCTGTTTACACAGAGTGGTTCATGTGAGGAATGAACTTCCAGGAGAAGTGGTGGATGTAGGTATAGTTTCAGTATTTAAAACACATCTAGATAATTACGTGAATAAGAAATGTTTGGAGGGATATGGGACAAGCGCAGGCAGGTGGGACTAGTTTGGTTTGGGGTTATCTTTGGCGTGGACTGGTTGGACTGAAGGGTCTGTTTCTATGCTGTATGACTCCATTACTCTTTTAGTTTGAAGGACAAGTTTAAAATGCTCTATGAACCTGTAAGGATACTTTTCTTTTCAAGTGAACTTTTCAATTAGTTGAAATTTGTAGCTGGGGTTGTGGATGCAGTTGTTTGTTAGCACGCTGAGCCAGTTGTTCTGTGGTGTGTATTGAGACAAGTGAGACATGCAAACAGTGAGGGCCTCAGTTTGACTGGGACAAAGTGACTATACTGGGATAAGCGAACACCAGGCATGCAAGGGAATTTCTGGAGGCCTGGTTGTCAACAAGGGACTCCATTAACAAACACATAGAAATAGACTCCGTATACAGACTGCTGCTAAAACAACAGAACTGGAAGCGACAAGGCCATCAAGGATCATATAAATATGGAAGGAAGCAGAACACCAACGGTTCGATTAGAGGTCGCATTGATGTTGTTGCTTAGAAGGGTAACGAAATGTCTGCACACCACAGAACAACCGGCTTGGCGAGCAAACGAACAACTGAACTTGTCAATCAGAGACACCACTGAGAATTCCAAGCCAGACTTTGAGCATTTGACAACAGGATTGATGACAGGGCCTTGGAAGAGGCTGGGAGCCAAGACTCACTGAGAAACCACCACTGATGAGAACCTACAGCAAATATACAGGGAGCATACAGACTGCAGCAGTTCAGGAGGGTCAAACGTCACCTTCTCCACAGGCAACGCAGGATTGGCAGTATCTGCTGTTCCAGTATCAATGCCTAAATCCCAACACTAACTTTCAAAAGATTAAAAAATATATCCAGAAATGTTTGTTTCGAAGATGTTTGTTTCGATCAACTGTTTCGTAGGATCAGGCTGGAGCCAAGAGGTGAGTCCCATGGACAAGATGAGATGATGGTTCAGTCCTCAATGTGATTAACAGCGAAATCCATTCTCTTTAGGCCTTCCCTCAGGTTTGAGGATGACTGTCTTCCACTTTGGAGTTGTGGGTCCTGAGGTGACTGAATGGTCCAATACCAAATCTCTTAACCCTGCCAGGGCCGGGACAGGTGGGCAGGAAACTACAGATTTTCACATGTTCCTTTCACTGTTTGCCTCGAACCTTCATTTGAGCCTGTAAGGAGACGCTCAAAGTGGTTGGTATCTTTGCAGGTGACCCTTTTCCACTCAGGGCAGTCCTGAGCTAAAAATTCTCATCGGTAGATGGGGGTGTTGCAATTTTTCTTCCGAAGAGGCTCTGAGGACATCCTCAAGGGAGGCTTGGGTCATGAGTGCAGATGATGTGGCACATCCATTGCACTGACTGACAGTAACCAGTACCATGGCCCTGGGGATGTTGGCCTCAGAGAGGAACCTGAAATTGCAGAGTCGAACAGGCCCATGGATTTTTCAGGATTTTGCAGAGGCCATCCCTGGTGACATTTCTCTTGCTAGTTGTTGGAGTTACCCATGATATTGCAAGTGTCTCAGAAGATTAGATTAGGACAGGCCTGGAAGACTGAGTGGGAGCGGTTGGTCCTCCAAACAATGGGAGTGAATGATGCACGGGACTGATCCCAGACCAGAGCGTAGACCAGTTAGGAAAGTGAATCCGGTCTTCACTCAGAGCAATACAGACTGGAAAGAAGCAACTGATCTCAAAGGACAACATCTTGTAATGTGTGTGCGTGTGCGTGTGTGTGTGTAGGGGGTTTGCTCAATCAGGGTAAAAGGGAGCAAATACTCTACCTTTTCACCATCAAACAATCACATTAATTCTGGAATGCAGATGGGTATATGGTTTGGTGCTGGGGGAGCAACTGGATGAGTTTATTACTACTGAAAGCAGTGACATCAGAGTAACAACAATGCAGAATGGATCAGCAGCAATCCCACTGCCATCTGATAATAAAACCGGAGGAAGTATTTTAAGTAGAGACTGTGAATCCGTTAGGTAATGAAGTACACAAGGAAGTTATGAACTGTCTCAGGAAAGGCGAGGTCTGGTTGAGTCAGAGAATCTCCGAAATGTATATTTACAATCCCTCAATAGGGTTCACAGAGGATAAATATCATCTGCTTGGGGTAAGGGTTGTATAGCAATCATTAGAAGGGGCACATACACTCACAGGCAGGTAGACATACACACACACACAGACACACACAGACCCACATGTGGAGTTTCACACTGACACACACCCCCATCCACACAGACTGATTCCTTCGTACATACATCCTCTCACACTGTCTTCAGCAAACACACTTACACACAAGCCAACTAATACTGGGACAAAGAATCAGTGCTGCAAGGAGGTCAATATCACAGAAATTCAAAGACATTTTATCACTGACTCCCTTGTCAATCGCAACTCAGATTTTAGTGAGCATTTTATCTTGCATACATTCAATGACACAGCTCTCACTGCTCCTTAAACTCCAAAGCCTGTCGACTTATTTTAGAGAAATCCTCCTTTTCTGTCAGAAATGGGGAGAGCTCTATTTTTAAAATGTGCCCCCCTCATTCTAGATTCCCACTCAACAAGAAATATCCTCTCAGTATCTGTGTGTGTGTGTGTGTGTGTGTGTGTGTGTGTCCAACTTCCATTTCCTCGTCCGTCAAGCCCCCTGAGAAACTGACATGTTACAGGAGTAGACTATTTTCTAAATGAGGAAAGGCTTTGGAAATCTGAAGCATAAAGGAATCCTAGTTAGGGATTTTCTTAAGGTTAACACATAGGTTCAATTTGCAGGAAGGCTAAGGCAATGCTTGGATTCATTTTAAGAGGACTAAGAATACAAGGGCAGTAAAGGGGAAAGAGTGTCTAAGTGTAGATTTCTTATAGAAGTGCAGTTTTCTCACATCGGTAGTAAGGGACAAATATGTATGTAAGGGTTAAAAGTAAGGATTGAAAAAGCACTTGCTTTGCTGCTGCAGAGACAGGCAGCTAGTTGGGAGATAGTTCCCAAGGGAATAGGCCCAGGGATGTTCCAGGCGGGAAACAAACGAGCCTGCAGATGTTAGTGACAAGAGGTCAGGGCTAGACACGATGAGTAACAGCATGTTTACTTTTGATAAAGGTTTCAATGGACGATAGCCCCCAGTGTGATAGTGTAGGAGCCGCATACCACTGAATGTAAACTGTGTGGTGTTGTTAGTTCATGCCAGATGTGGATAGTAATTAATATAGTTACGGAGTTGCGTCAGCCTGTTTGTGTAATGGTGTAAAGGAGGTATTCTCTTGCCATTGTATTTGGAGAGAGTTCAAATCCCGAATGAGTCTTGGACCCCCTCCCCCTGCATCTACACTGGTGTTTTGCTTGAATAAATTTCTTAAGTGCCGCTTTACTTTGCTGTCTCTAACTGCCTTGACAGAGGTCACGGTTCCAGCTTGGTGAGCCAGCCAGGAGGTTCTTCCTGAGGGATCTGACATGGGACCAACGTAGGGGTGAGTACGTTTATCTCTACTGCCCAGTAGGTTAGAGTGGTCCCCGGTCGTGACCCTCTGTAAGTCGTAACCTTCCTTTTGAACGCACCTTCGGGAGTGCGGAGACAGAGAACGGTAGCTCTTGAAGCCCTCTTGGAGATGTTCTGAGGAACTACTCTGGGAGCTACAAAAAGGCAAGTAGCTTAGAAAACATTCCCCTGCAATAAGATTAGAGCGAACCTGAGTGTAGCCTGTATGTCTGAATTCCTAACTGTTCGTCTGCCTGTCTGTATCCGTGTTTGAGAGATATTAGGAACTGCAGATGCTGGAGAATCTGAGATAACAAAGCGTAGAGCTGGATGAACACAGCAGGCCAAGCAGCATCAGAGGAGCAAGAAAGCTGACGTTTCGGGCCTAGACCCTTCTTCAGAAATGGGGGAGGGGAAGGGGGTTCTGAAATAAATAGGGAGAGATGGGGAGGTGGATAGAAGATGGATAGAGGAGAAGATAGGTGGAGAGGAGACAGACAGGTCAAAGAGGCGGGGATGGAGCCAGTAAAGGTGAGTGTAGGTGGGGAGTTAGGGAGGAGTTAGGTCAGTCCAGGGAGGACGGACAGGTCAAAGGGGCGGGATGAGGTTAGCAGGTAGGAAATGGGGGTGCGGCTTGAGGTGGGAGGAGGGGATAGGTGGGAGGAAGAACAGGTTAGGGAGGCAGGGACAAGCTGGGCTGGTTTAGGGTTGCGGTAGGGGGAGGGGAGATTTTGAAGCTTGTGAAATCCACATTGATACCATTGGGCTGCAGGGTTCCCAAGCGGAATATGAGTTGCTGTTCCTGCAACCTTCGGGTGGCATCGTT